CTTCTGTCGCGGGATCCGGAGCAAAATTCATTTAAGAAAACTTTAAAAGGTTTGAAAAGGGAAGAAATCCTTTCAAGGAAAAGCCCTTATCCGTCCTTACGGCGAATCGGCCGTTACCTGTATCGATTGCATATCGCACGAAGTATCGTGCATATCGCACATAGTAATAGAGTTTTATTTGAAACATGAGGAGGAACCGCAAACCTCGCGTGTATACATAAACTGACATAATAGTCGATAACAAGTGGCCATTGGCTAGTAAGCTATGTTAGCTGGCTTTTTTTTCAGTCACTCGTCTCGTGTCAACATATTCGTACGTCATAACTGTTGATTATTCGACAAAACTGAAGATACATCAAATATTATTTCTACTTTGCACGTGATTTTACGTTTTACCTCACAAGTACTGTTCTTTCTGAATAGTGGAGATATTGTGCTGCTATTTCCTGTATAATCTAATAATCACCAGAGATTCACGACTATGTCGATATGATATAAATGACTGAAAAATTCGAAGAAAATGCACAAAAAAATGCTGTAAAAATTACTAAGTTTAATGCTGGAATATACCGGAATTATTATCAAAATTATATGTATTATCAAAATATATGTGTTATAATCTTTAGTGATATATATCATATATGTATATATATCATTATAGATTGTAACATTACACAATAATTCCAGTATATTCCAGCACTACAATTTTGTAGTCATTTTTACTATAATATTTTTTTCGTGTGTATTGTGCCACTGGGTTAAAGCTGTTATACCGGTCTATGTATGGCGAGTGATTTGTTTATTTTATGTTATGAGTCACTTCTTACGAATAAATCTCGTCATTCAAATCGTTAAGCATCTTGGCGATTAAACGATTGTATCACTCATTCGTGTCTCTTTATGAAACTCGACGTGCATGAATCCTTCGATTCTCGATGCCGAAGTAAACGCGCGACTGTCCCTCGGTTTTACTTTGAGTTGAATTTCTCTCTCTCTCTCTCTCTCTCGCCCGCGCGCCTGCGGTTGAAAGGACGTTTCACGGGTCTAGAGCATCACGTACGTTATTGGATTAGCTCGAAGGCGCATTGTATATGAAGAACTTTCTCAAACTCGCGGAGCAACGGCACGCTATCGCGATAATACGATAAGGCCGCTAGAAATTATTACGGTCACTAGGAATTTCACTAAAATTCCTAACATAGCCGCAGCTCGCAAAGGGCCAACCTATTACCTAATAACGCCTTGCCGGTTGCGGGTTAATTCATTTGGACGAAATCGATTAATCAGGGGCTAAAAGCATGCCGCATAAAGGACTTATTTTTGGTGGTCACGTTTCTCCATAGCCGGCTCTCATAGCATGAGAGAGAGGAGAGAGGAAGGGAGGGTGGGAGGGAG